TATTTATTTATTTATGCATATATATACACTAGTACCTACCACATTTTTGTCGTTCCTCTATGCCCGGGATATGGATTTTTCTGCCACGTTTTTTACACCGTTTTAATTAAGCCACATACTTGGTATTGATCTCGATTTGTAGCTTATAAGATTTACATTTAATTGTGTAAAGTTTTATGAAGCTCGCTTTACGTTTGCTACGCGAAAAAGTGCTGTTTAAAGACTATAAGAGCAAAATGTGCTTCAACGCTTCTTCTTCGACACGACAATTGGTGGCTGCAGAAAGAATGAACGAGAGAGTGAGTGAGAAAGAGAAGCGAACAGGCCGCGGTCGCGGCAGCGGCAGCACCACCAGCGACAACCGAATCGAAAAGCAACAGCAGCGAAATGCGGCAACCGCAATGCTGATGACGTTTACTTCTTTTGTTGGCTTTAAAAATTTTGAGACCAGTGGGCGAAAAGGGGACAATTTTTCTTTATGCAGTTAAAATTGAGTAAATATACCTAAATTTGAAGCCAAATCCATCTATTTCTTTCTTTCTTTATTATAACACACGGATATGTGACGCGCCAGAAGTGAGCAACTTATGTATTGGTATTGGTGCTGCTGTCGTCGTACGTGTTTTATTGCCTGCTTTGCTTTTGATACTTTGTTTGTTCTTTTACACGCAGTTTCTTGAACACACAGTGTTGCTTTTTTGCACTCATCAATGTACCGACAATTGTGTTCATTTCAATATTAACACTTAATATCGCTCCGCTTTCAATTTGGTTATCAAAAATTTACGGCAAATTTAAGTCGGGACACATGAACCCAAAATACAGGTATACGCAAATACGCCGACGCACACACACAGTCAACTAAAACGTGAGCGTCAAGACGTTTTTTTGTTGTTTACGTCGAACAGCTGTTGGTCAGCTGTGCGTGCAAACAGCTGTTAATCTCGCCTGTTAACAGGTCTGTTTATTGACATCCATAGCTGTCACCGCAGCTGGCAGTTTTGCCGAGGCTGTCAAAGTTGCCAGCGCTGCCAACTGTTGTTAAGAAAATTCAATTTTCGATACGTTTTCAATGAAGTTAACAATATTTGGTTAAGTCCATTTTACAAATTTGTTTCTAAAGGGACATACGTTTTCTAGACAGTGCATTGAACTGCAGTTTGGCCACGCAAGGCTCAAACTTTAAGAGGGCTGTCTGTGAATCAAGCACGCTGCCTATTCACAGAGTAAGACGAAAAAGGGTTGTTCGATTCTCTCCAATTGCATTTGCAGCACGGATTGAATGCCGTTTTTTTTAGTCATAAAGCGTAACCCCAGCATCAGGGCAAGGCTTTATTTTTGAGATTTCAAGATTGCAAATTTCTGTCTGGCATGCATAGAGGAGTAAAAACACATATATTATGCCGATTTTTTTTATTTTATTATTATTTTTTTTTTTTTTGGCATTTCACTTAAGATTAATGGAAACAGGAGTTGAACAAAAGGCATGCACAAATGCGAATTGCGTTCGGTTAATTTCACAACAACAAAGTCAAACACATTTAATACTCAAATGTCAATTATGACGAACACTTCGTAAAGACCCTTCGCCGCGTCCTGCACCACTTGCATCGCCGAGTATGTGATCGCCTTTACTTCGGTGCCCTGTGGATGCTTGCCTAGCTCGAAGGGTTCGCCATAGCAGCGACATACGATTTCAAAGTTGTCCAAATCGAATTTTGTGATTTCTAGTTTCTTGCACACCAAATAGGGCTCCGCCGAAAAAAGGAACAGCAGCTCGTCCAGAAAATGAAAGAGCAGACCTTCAATGTCGTCGCCCTTCGCCTCGATCTCGTAGCAGTTATTCACAGTCACATAGGAAAGATCCGTCATGTAGCCAAACATTGCGACGCCGCATTGCTCGAACGCTTCCTTCAACGTGGAGCCCCAGCCGTGCAACCTAAGCGATAATTAGAAACATTTTTATCCGTGACTCATTTTCGTTTCCCGCCTCCAACGTGGGCTACTCACTGCACATCAGCTGTGTGATCCAAATCTGTTTAAAATACAACGTTAATATATAATATTATTACAATCACTTTTTCTCACATTCATATTTTGTTTCGGGCAGCAGAAAGTTGTCCTTGCTAAATTCCACCTCCATTTTCAAATTCAGTTTTGTCCGCACGCTTGCATTTCGCGAATTTGGCCAATTAAAATGGTATCAGCTGCTGGGCGGCTTACATTTCCCTATTGAGGAAATATTAACAGTGTGTATTAACATAATTCTGGCACCGCGAATCTATTTCTATAGCTCTATAAATTTTACCAAATGCCTGATCGGTGATTATGAGTAACAAGTAAATAGTGCATACATTATTTTTATTTAATAAGGCAATGCAAAATTATGTTGAAGCTGAATTTATCATATTAATGGTAAATTGTTCATTTTTCGGACAATTGGGTTCAAGTCTTAGCTAAATCGCCGTACACATCTGTTAGTAACATACATACTTACTTCTACTTATCGATAACATCGACTGCTGTAGTTGAAATTTTGATGCCTTGAAAGTACTGTCATATTGCATTAGTAGCACAAAGTAAAACACAAATTTTTCATTTCAACAAAAGAAGTTGTGCGAACAGTACAATTCGAAAAAATTAAATTTCTCCAATATACAATATAAGAATTCGTAAAAACTGCTTTTCAGCGTTCTGAATAATTCGAAATATACTCAAGAAGTTGTACCAATTAATTGTACGGTATGGACACCGCATCGGACAACGACAGCGACGAAGGCTCCATTGGCGGTAATGCGGCAAATGATATGGGAATTGATCTGACCGGCATATTATTCGGCAACATTGACTCGGAGGGCAAGCTCGTGGACGACGAGGATGACAAAGGCCACGCTTTTGATGCGGAGCTGCGCGAAAATCTAGGCTCTTTATCCAAGTATGACTTAAATTTGATGGATTATTTATGTATATGTATACATATACTATAAATGTGCTCAAATTTCAGATTGGGTCTTAACTCACTTTTGAACGAAGTGATTGATCAGAATGCCGTCAATTCGGATGAGGATGGTGAGGACAAGCCGATGGCAGAAACCTCTGAATCTTTGAGCGCCTTCGATGCCCTGAAGGCTGGGCTAAGCAATGAGGCCAACGAGGATGGAGCCATTAAGGCTCAGGACGATGCAATCGATTATTCGGACATAAATGAGTTGTCCGAGGACTGCCCACGCACACCTTCGCCTCCAGCTCAGCTAGCTGACGATGGTGCATCTATTTTCGACGACCTGGAAGATGCTATACCAGCTACCAAAGTAGAGGCGAAGTCCAGTAGGTAGCTTAGTATGCAGATAGGACCTTTCGCTAAATATATTATATTTGTAGCCAAAGACGACAAGGAGTTGATGCCGCCGCCTAGTGCACCGATGCGAAATGCCAACGCAGCGTCAGCTGGCAACGAGGAATCCCCCACAAAAAGTGGACCAGCTGAAGCGTCTGGCGGCAGCGACGAAAAGTCAAGCGACGCTAAAGGTAGCTGAGCTTAGAATAGATTATAACTTATATATATATATGTATTTCGCTATATAGCCGAAGCAGATCGTCGCCTGGACACGCCCCTGGCGGACATATTGCCGTCAAAATACCAAAACGTCGATGTTTGCGAGCTGTTTCCCGACTTCCGTCCACAAAAGGTGCTGCGCTTCTCTCGCCTCTTTGGCCCGGGTAAGCCTACCAGTCTACCTCAGATCTGGCGGCATGTGCGCAAGCGGCGGCGTAAGCGCAAACAGTCGCGTGACCAGAAAACAAGCAATAATGGCGGCTCGGATTCGCCAAGCGATTCTGAGGAGCCACGTAGACGCGGCTTTAGTCTTCACTTCGGTCCAGATCCAACTCCGGCTCAATGCATGTCCGATGACGAAGACAAGTTGTTGAGCGACATGAACAGCGAGGACGTGCGCCAGGAGGGACCAGACAATGGCGAAAATAGCGATCAGAAACCAAAGATCGCCGATTGGCGCTATGGACCCGCACAGATCTGGTATGATATGCTGGATGTGCCCGATTCTGGCGAGGGATTCACCTACGGGTTCAAGACATCCTCCTCGCAGCCTAAGTACGTCACTGAACGCTCGGAAGTTGGGGGCGATAAAAATGCCGAGCAGCAGGAACTCAGCATTGCGGATGATGCATTTCTTATGGTCTCCCAGTTGCACTGGGAGGACGATGTGGTCTGGGATGGCAACGACATTAAGGCCAAAGTGCTACAAAAGCTCAATTCCAAGACGAATGCCGCGGGCTGGCTGCCCTCGAGTGGATCTCGCACAGCGGGCGCTTTCAGCCAGCCGGGCAAGTCCGCTTTGCCGGTGGGCAACAGCGGAGGGAATGGCGGAAACAGCGGCAAACAAAACTCTGGTGGCTCAAACAAGAAGGCGCTGCAGAGGTGAGTTCTATATATAACATTTATGCAGCTCAATCAAATGAATTCCCTTGTGATTTGAAGTGCTGCCCAAAGCAAGCAAGTGGAGGTTACCGATGATACCTGGTACAGTTTGTTTCCCGTGGAGAACGAGGAGCTCATCTATCACAAGTGGGAGGATGAGGTCATTTGGGATGCTCAGCAGATGAACAAAGTGCCCAAGCCCAAGGTCTTAACTTTGGATCCCAATGATGAAAACATTATACTCGGCATACCCGATGACATAGATCCGTCCAAGATTAACAAGAATACTGGGCCTCCGCCCAAGATCAAGATACCGCATCCACACGTTAAGAAATCTAAGATATTGCTCGGCAAGGCTGGTGTGATCAATGTACTGGCCGAAGATACCCCTCCGCCGCCGCCCAAGAGTCCAGATCGGGATCCCTTTAATATATCGAATGACTCGTGAGTAGATGCAAATTATGAATCTGATTTAGCATGAAATGGATCATAAATCAATAAATCAATCAATTTTTGTCCTCTTACAGCTATTACACACCTAAAACAGAGCCCACACTGCGTCTCAAGGTTGGTGGCGGCAATCTCATACAGCACTCGACTCCAGTTGTGGAGCTACGAGCTCCGTTTGTGCCCACGCATATGGGACCGATGAAACTGCGCTCGTTTCATCGTCCGCCGCTAAAGAAGTACTCGCACGGTCCGCTCTCGCAAAGCATTCCGCATCCTGTTTATCCGTTGCTGAAACATATTGTAAAGAAGGCCAAGCAGCGCGAGGTGGAGCGCATTGCTTCTGGCGGCGGCGACGTGTTCTTCATGCGCAATCCCGAGGATCTGAGCGGCAAAGATGGTGATATTATTCTAGCTGAGTTCTGTGAAGAGCATCCGCCGCTTA